GGCGATCTTCACCAAAAACTAATTAGCACCATCGCCATCAACTGACATATGCATTTCTGGATTCGTTACAGAAACGTGAACATTTTTATGCATTTTTCTGAAGATTTAAAAAAAAATCTCGATCGATAGTTTCGCAAAACTAATAAACGCGAGCCCTCATAGAGGTTTATCGAATGGATCGAATCGAAGGGTCACATACACAAATATACTTTTTTCAATTTCGGGTTCAAGCGTTTCAAAATGACTTGAAACGTCAACAATTTAATATTAGCTAGTCGGATTTTCTGGTAAAAATATAAACTACTCCTTCGGAAAGTTAATAATAATGCATCTGAAATAATAATTTTTGAACTGTAGCTATAAAACAAGTTTCTCAAAAGGAAAATAATTGTAGGTTGAAATTATCAAGCAATATTTCCTACAAAACCGACATTTAAATTTGTCTAAATTAATACATTTTCTGAAAATGCATGCCCACCCAAGTAAAATCATTTACTCCATATCATTTATCATCGAAGAGGGCGGACAAGTACAATGTTCTAGATTTCTTCCGCGAATGCGGTAACATATTGTACAGATACAAACTAATTGATACTAATTGACTCAAAATGCACTATTTATGACTTTGCATAACTTTCTAATTATCTGCATTCGTTAAGAACAAACAATATCGGCGCAAACACGCGTTTTCATAAACTGTGTTATTAGTAAAACGAATAATAGAAAATTAGAACGTATTGTCGGTAAATTATAAAATGTGTTAGAAGATTAAACACAGCAATTAGTATTATGCTATTCTTTAAATTTATTGTAAATTTAAAGGCAGACGTAAGTATGAACAAAAACAATATTTAGTAGTGTAAATATTAAGTGTTTAACGCTTTATGAAAGGAAATAATAATTAAATAGTAATTACTAATAATAATAATGAAAAAACAATTAAAATCACAAAACTGGAGATGCTCCCTTTGTTTTGGTGCCTTCATGAATCACGTGATCAATATTTATGGATTTTTGGAACCTCCTGTCCCCTTGGTGATATTTAAAATAACCCCCTCCTCCACCCATCATCACGTATATTTAAGTACAAAAAATGAATGCACGTGATATCTTACTAGACCAACCCTTCCCCATGTGATTGCTTTATGATTTTGTGTCTAACATCTAACCCTTATTAGGACTCTAGTGATTAATGTATATACCCAAAAATTATTTCCATTAGAATTAGAATTATTTCCATTAGAATAACATCTCAATAGATGATGAAAATATCAAGAAAATTAGTTTTCCCGAAATTTTTCCAAAAATTAACTCCAAGGCCGTTTAGATAATTGTGAATGTTATTTACTCTTTTACACCAAAATATTCACTAATACATTTCTCCTATATATTTTTATATTTTCATAAAAATAATCTTCATTTATGTGTGTTTCATATGTATAATGTATGTATGGATGCATATGTATGTATGTATGTGTATGTGTTCCATGTACCTGGGTGATTGACGATATCGTAATTAACAATTTATCGTTTATTCCACACGTTCGGTTGAAATAACGAAGTCAATTAAAAGCCAAAGTACAATCTCTAATCTCCTACCGGTTACGATTAATAATATATGGAGAAAAATGTGTTTATTTTATTTTCAAAATAGCAATAAACACCAACTACTGCGAAATAAATTAATGATAGAAAAGAAACATGAATAAACTTGACAAAACTCGGCTGAATAATTAAAAAAAAAAAAAAATTAACATGTTTATCAGTCTTATGTGTCTGACCCTAATAAGTTGTACATATCAGTCATTTATGTCTGATTACGAAATTTAGTAAAAGGAAGAAAGAAAATAGGACCATATCAGTCATATATGTGTGATATAAAAAATAGTGTTTTTTCAGGAATTTTTGGAAAAAAAAAATTTCTTCAAAACGTTAAGTTTCCTTGACTGACTTATTTAATAAAATTACCATGACTTCCGTAAAAATTTTTTTCGATACAATCGTGGCAATTAGCGTGTGAAATTAAACAAGTCCTAAAATGTTAATAAACAGAAGTCTATTTCCTCCCTGTCTGATACGATTTACAAAGCCATTAGCGTGCATGTAATCCTAGAATGCATTTATTTACGCATTCGCATGTATGAAAATTTATTTATGTTCCACTTGTACCTGATGGGAACCAGGCGCCTAGGCGGCCAGGCTAAGGTAGGAGGCAAGGTGTTCCATAGTACACCTTCCAAAGGTAATTGAGCAACGGTAACCGAATGACCTTTGCCGCTGCCAGTACCGATGGATGGATGCATATAATAACTTGCAACTTGAATTTTTAAACCTTCTGAACGAGATTTATGCCATCTGTATTATGAAATTGCTAAGTGTTCAGACAGAGCTTGATCTATGTCGCAGCCCCTCGGACTTTCTTACTTATTAAAATATATATTTGCAGATAATAACATATGCGAAGATAACGAGGCGGTCGTGTGCCTCATTATATAAAACACTGACCATTATCTGAAGAAAGATAAATAAACCAGCTCCAGATACAACTACGATATGAATTTTATACACAAGAAATCACGATTTGCGGAATCCAGACCAGTTTCTTCATTTGTAGCGTTTAGGTGCGACTATTATAAAGGCGTGCACATTTGCCCTGGGGCTACTAATACGATTTAAACGCTTTTATATAACATTGTAGGAAGATTAGAAGAATTGAAGTTCGATAGACTGTAAGAGGCTTACAGAAGGATCAATGATTTTAATTGAAAAGATCTATTTCGGTCAATCAATAGTTCCATATGAGTTTGTTATTAGCTGAAGCCATTACGAAATGACATTCCAAAGCCGCAAAAAACAAAAAAAGAAAAACACATCAAATATTCTCTCCAGCCAACCATATGCTAATCATTACAAACGCATTAGCGGTAATAAAAATAAATGGGTTCCAAAGGAATTTAATATAGAGCATAGCAAGCATCAGAGCTATGCAATAATAACTATTATATTTTCAACTAATGTATATAGAAATATTTAAATTAGATCAACAGATTAAAATATAATTTTTGCTATTCATCACGCGCTATTCTAAATATGTGTTAATGACTTCATTTTAATAACAATGGTCTGATGAGGTCTGTTTAACCAACAGCATAATAAAAATAAAAAAGAATGATTATTGAAAAAACTTACGTTACGGCGACTTAGATATTCTATTAAGATGTCGTGGCACTTACCTGAAACAAAAAATAGATTAATTAAAACTGTGCATTTTCTAACCATAAGATGACATTGCTAAAACATACGACAAAAAGTCGTTATCAAGTTTCTAGTTAATTTTATGTAAGTCTGCTGACTCTGACAGACTATTTAATTTAGTTTAAATAGTCACGCTAGCTTAGCACACGAAGTGCCTTCGACCCCGTCTACATAAGGTTAAAGAACCAGTCACTAATTAGACCGCTTCGGACGTTGTGCTTTTCAAAGGCCACTTTATTTCATTCGCAAAATAAAAAATTTCTAATAAAGAAATTGCATCTAAATATTGCATACAAACATGCATATAAAAATACTTCCTATGTCAATATGTTAAAACATGTAAACAAATTTACAACCCCTGCGCTGATTTTCCGCCTAACCTAAAATGAAGCGTAGCTTCAGGTCACTTGCCGGACGGGCCTACAGGCTACGTATGGGACATGGTAAAAAATTCGATATTTTTCTATTAAACGATTCATTTATCAATGGACAATTTTAATGTGGATATGTTATATGTTATAGAATTATATGTTACATGTTAAAAAATTATGGGACTAATAAGTATTTCATAACTTTGAAACTAAACTAGACTCGACAGGTTTTATGTATTGTTGAATCAAAATTCTTTGAAATCAATGGGTTATTTTGAGTTTTATTATATAATTAGTGCAATATTTTGAAGATTTGTTCGCATATATATATATATATATATATATATATATATTATACAAACTTCTAAAAATTTCCTCACGTATTTACATCGTGCTTGAACGCCATTTCGTTTAAAATTCGTTCTGCGTAACGAAAGAAATTCCAGAATACTTTAAAAATATAAGATACAGTTATGATTTTATTCTAAGAGACGAATCACTGAGTAAAAAAATTGTTTATATACATTTTGTATTAATTTTTGGCAATTTATTCACCAAAGCGATGATTAATTATGGTTTCTTTGCTGCTTGAGCTTTTGAATTATTATTTTTTGAATGAACGGTATTATTTTAAAATTTATGTTGTATTAAACATGGTAATTGGATCTCGGTGTTATGGATTTACTGTTAAATATAACAGCTAAATTGTAAGAATCTTTTGTAATACGGCTTATTAAATTCAATTTATGCGATGTTATTAAATTAAGGAGCCAATTTTTGGATAAGTTACGTTTGTACGGTAATGCTAGTTTACGGGTCTATAATCGAGTAGGTAGAAATGTCAAAAAGCTGTGCGATCAGGCGATTTACTCACTTAGCATTGTAGGATAGGGCAGGGCACAAAAGTCCAGTTGGACTTTAAGCAATTATATTGTGAAAACCAAACCAAACTATATCACAACTAATAACACATAAAACAAACAACTGACTATTTCCAGTAAAACTCACAACTAATTCATTATTGTAAAAATGCGTTTTTTTCGCAAAAATGGTCACCTGATATTTTTTACCCCAAAACAGTACAACAGCTAGTGAGCAAATTGTTCCATTGTCTTATTTTTAATTTTCATCGGCAGATTTACACCTTTGCTAGGTTATAGTTTGAGTTGGTCCTTTGTACCCCACCCACATGTAAGCTTTTATAGAGGTTATATAAAAAAACTGTTAAATCTAACTTAAAATTAACAATACATCATATAAAACAATTAGATAACGTATACTTAAAAATTATATTAAGGTCCCGTAAACTAAACAACAGTGCTCATAACCAATAAATATACAGAAGAAAATACTTTTTGTTATGGATTTTTAAACATGGCCGTTAGTATCCTTATAGATTTAAGTCGATTGCTCATTACACATCTTTTTATCTCTTCTTCCAAATACTATTATTAAAAAATTTCTAACTTTATTTATTTTTTCAGATAATGGTGGTGGAACTTTTCCGCGGACCTTTAAGTCCTGCTCTGCCCTATGTGTTTTCAAAGACATTAGATAAATGCAACATTGATAAAATTGAAATTCGACGTTTGTGCGTTTTGTAGGTTAGATTTTATGTGTGAAGGGTCTTATCCTACAACAAATACATAGCTTTTTGACAGTTTTTACTATCAATTCTTACAAAGATAAGGCCATAACATAGCGTTGCCTTTACTATTTCATCGGAAATTGACCTCTAAGTTTTTTTTCTTGGATCTCAGTATAAAATAATTATGAAGCGAGCTCTTCCCTTCGCAAAAGTTCAGATGAGCAAAAAAATCAGATCAGCAAAAAAAGTACGATTTGGATAAACACTATAATCAAATATCTCCATCTTCGGCACAGTACAGTTGAATACAGTATGGTACGGTACTAAGGTTATTCTCTTTCGACTACAAAACGCCGGAAGCGATATTCCAACAGCTTTTATTTATTTTGTGTTCTGTTTCTTCTCAGTTGACTTTGTCTACTTGAGCGAATCGCGTGACCGTCTCATGTTTCCTGGAACGATTGTAAAGAAATTGGACAGAAAAACTACAACTATTCGCATTTATTCAAAGACACCTCCAACACCTCACGTTTAATTTAAATATGTGTAAACCAATGCTGAAAATATTTCACTAATTATATAACAAAATTCAACATAACTCATTGATTGCAAGCAATTAGGATTCAGAAACGCACAAAACCAGTCTTGATACAAATTTGAAACTAGTGGTGCATCCTGCCTTAAGACAAATTGCTGGAAATTTTTATAAAACCTTTAAATTTTTTTGAAACCGTTGAAAAAAATGTCATCTTTAAGAATTTTGAAATTTTAAAAAAATCGACTTTTTTGAAAAATTTGAATATATTTTTATATTTCGGAAAAAAAAATTAATTTAATTTTTTTTTGAAAATTTCAAAGCAATCGTTCTGCGTGACTGTTTTAGAGAAGAAATATCGGATACACATTGATACCGAACCCATAGAAAAGTAAACAAAATTCATACTTATTATTGAAATCGCTATAAAACATCTAATGACAAATTGCTTTTTTCCCTTCACATACATGCGCCCGAAATCGTTAAATAAGATAGACCAGCTTATAACAAGCGAAGAAAAAGAAAGATCTAAAAGATAAAGAAGTATAGTTAAAACTGCAAAATGAAACAGTTGATATTACACTGCCTGCCAGACCAGAAAGAATTGGCAAAATTCGTCCACTGAGCAAAGTTATAAATAAAGTAAAGCTCACTTTTGCGCATATGGGCTTCAAAAAGCAGTTGATGGTCCCCTTCAATTTTTAATTAAAATTGAGAGTAGACGAAAAATTGTATCGAAACATACATAAACACACACACATACATCAATTTTTCTAAGGTATGCCAAAATGTTCAGAAACAACTAAAAGGTAAAAATATATAAAAAAATTCATTTTCGATTATTTGCGCTTACTACAACTTTCCCTACGGGAAGTTAAAAAAATGGTTTGGCAATTAAGAGCTATTAAGTGTAACCTAGAGCTTTAATGAAATAGTGACAATTTTTTGGTTATTGTGGTTAAATTTTATTACTATTGTCCATTTGAAACATTTGAACTGATGTGAGCTAAATGTGTTAGCCGTTACCGTGTTATTGTTAGGTTTTTATTAATTTTCTTTTATCATGGAGTATTTTACCATTTTACAGTCCTAATTAAATGTGTCATTTTTCGTTGGAAAGAGCCAACATACTTTAGTGCATCTTTTAAAAAGGTACTTCTCAAGGTCTACAAATTTTGAAAATTTTAAATTAATAGTTTAACACAAAGTTCGTGAATTAGACCTTAAGATAATTATTTTTGACTTTGGCTCTAGATATGTTATTCACGTTTGCGTTTGCAAAGTATAAATAAACAAAACAAATAAAAATTAATTACGATAACTGAAATATAGTCACAACTACACTAAAATTCTACATTGCACTCAAAAGCTCCAAACAACGTGAGATAAACTCCTTTTCTAATTTTCATCCCATTTCAGTTTGACGTTGAGTTCTAGGACACTCTTCACAAATTTGAAGTACGTAAAATAATGTTTAATTTATGTCCTCTCTTGCAATGTTCTCAGTTTAATATCTTTAAACACATAATATATATCACAAGTCGACGAGCATATTCAAATCCCATAAGATATCTCAAGATTATCTTTATCTTTTCCTTATTTATCGTCGGCTGGGCACAAACAACAGCACGTCAATACAATTCACAATCTAATTGTGAAATATTGCATCGCGTTTAATCCTTTTGCAAAATCTCGCAATCGTTTCTTAAGAAGGTCATCATATCATCGCCTTAACACGATTTATGATTCATGTAGGTACTCGAGATAAAAAATTGGAAAGACTATAAATTATTGCTATTAATATCATTATTCATAATTCATAATTTTTTGATTGTTGGTGGATAAATTTCATATACAGAATATCGATAGATACAGACTTTGCTGACTACTTCTTAGACACTGATGATTATTAATATATTAACATTATATAAATGTATATAAATGTAAAATATATCATCTTAAATTATCATACATATAAAATACTACATGTCAATTATCTGCTATAGTTTCCTGATCTATTTCATTTATTATAATGAAGGTTGGTGATTTTTATGGTACTTTTTTATTTGAATTAAACTTAACACATTTGCAGACGTGGATGCTATAGCATTCATTTTCACTGTTATGCAGATTGACATGAATGCTATAGTATTCAAATTTTAAAGTCAATTATTCTAAATTTAATTTTATTTAACCTTACATTTTTGTAATTATCATACCTGTTAAGGTAAGGACTAAATGATTCTATAGGTACTTTCGTAGCTTGGGCAAGCACATTACGCAAAATAGAGGCGTAGTACTTGACGTGGATCCTATAGCATTCATCGTATATAATGATGATAATATGATAATTTCACTACCTTTATAAACCTCGTTTAATCAACTTTCTTTCTAACACCAATTTAAAAATAAAACAAAAAACAGTCCATTTTTATACTATGCTGAAATTTTTACTGCTAATTATCAAAAAATCTTTATATTAAGCTGAACATCAGTTGGTCAATTATAAAACTCGTTTTAGTCCTTTATTCTGCAAAATCTAACCACACTGTGAATTAATTTAAATCATCGTAAAATAAAAGATGATGCCCTTTCATTACACCAAGTAATAATTTTGCTCACACAATATTATGAATTTTTACTAAATACAAATTTTAATTATAATGTATGTTGTATTGCCTGGAACTACTTTTAACTCACAGAAGCATGTGTTAATGATTCACAAAAAAATCATACATATTTTGTAATAGGTAGTTCTGATAAAATTGCCATATTTGTTAACCAACTTCTACTACTCTCATATTATTTTATAGAAAGTACATATATTTTTAATGTCTTATTTATTTATAGCGCAAACAGAAAATTTTATTGTGTAATTTTACATATAAATTTAAACGATTTTAGATATGCTTGAACAACAATATAAATTGCAATGTAATTTCCGAATAATTGAACGAAATATTGCATAACTGAGAAGATGATGATGTTTTTAGGTTTTAGAACTAAAAAGTTCCACGATATTTCTAATAATTCTATTTGGATGGTAGATTATTAGTGGAGAATATATATATATATATATATATATATATATATTATATATATATATATATATATATATATGTATAATCATTCGTATATTTATGGTGGCGCCAACTTTCACGCCGATGCATACAAATTTGTTTCACAATAATTAAACTTTACGACATATATACTGAAAGATGAGTTTATGCAAATCGTCGAGAATCTTATTTATCAAAACAAAACTGTGTTTTTTTCACAAAAATTTCAAGACCTAACAAAAATTATGTAACCTAAAAAACAGATTAATTTAAACTATAATTATATGTTATGGGATAATAGTCCAAAGCCGGAAACAAAAGTTACATCGTATAAAATCACATCTGTACCAATTTCGAAACACTTTTTGTGTTAAAACCATCATAATTTACTAAATCTCCTAGGAAAGTTGTGGACAGAAATATTACTATTCTAAAGATTTATTACTATCAACACAAGAAGCATACATCATTTGATTATTTTTGTCGTCCGTGACTCGGTAGATGAAATTATTACAAATCGTTTTTCTCTATTTGACAAACAATTTGCAGGTTCTTTCACTTCGAATTTGTAAAATTTCCAATTTTAATTTAATTCCACTGCGCAAATTGCTTATTGTCAACTTCTTGTACAATGTAACCTCATTGGAAGACTATTTTGCTACTGGACAATTGTTTGGTAGAGAAAATAAGGCTGGGATACTATGATCAGGAAGAAGTAGATAAACAACCAAACGTAATAGAAATTTAGAAGAATTGGAATTTCAGACTATTGAAGAAATATATACATCTCTAACGAATACTACAATGACCAAAACATTATAAACTAGTGGTGCATGGTATCGTGCCTTGAGGCAAATGGCTGGAACTTCCTATACCGAAAATTTTATGAAAACTTTGAAAAAAATGAGATTTTTAAAAACATAAAAAAATATTTTTTTTTTAAATTTGATATTTTGAAATTTTTTGAGAATATTGAGCTTTTTTTGTCAAAACAATCGTGCCAAAACAAGGAACCCAAAGAGATGTAAACAAAATTTATACTTATTATTAAAATCTCTACAAATTATCTGATATCTGATAATTATTCGATACGGCTCGACTTGCTTTGTCCAAAAACTAATAAGCACTGTCTCCTTGTTAGTAGGAATCGAATGTTATTTAAATCAATCAAGTCGGTTGGTCCGTATTCCTGAAATCGACGAAAATTTGTATCCATACACACATACATCCATTTTTTCTAAGGTTCCACGCCAAAACGTTCAGAAACTTGAAGATATAAAAAATTGACATTTTCGATTTTTTTTGCTATTACTATAACCCTATGGAAAGTTAATTAATATACAATTTTGATACAATGTCGAGGTCTAAAATGTTTGAATATCATAAAAATAAAGGTTGTTTTTTTTCTAAAAAAAATCTCGACTTTCCTATAACAAAGAAGCTTCAAACATATGAATTATCTTGTGGCTCTATTTTAATAGCCCAAAATGCTGACGAGTAATTCGCAAAAAAAAAAATATAGCAGGATCCTAGGGATTTGCTTATTATATGATTTTTTTTTTTAATTTCGAGCTGCTCTAATTTTCACAGTATATTTCCTGTGACCCTAGTAATCTGCTATAACAATATTTCTGCTATAATACTGTAAATATTAGAAGGTTTTTGGAAGTCCTAGACTAAAAAAAATCAATATCAAGTACCACTTTTCATTGTATTCTATTAAATTTTCATGGAAACCTAGCCTTCCACAGTTGATATTATATTATAAATCTATAAAACCAACATCAACACATATCATTAAGTAGAAAGTAGGCGAGATGAATAACAAAACTTAACTAACTGTATATTCCATGTTTTGTACCACGGAAGATCTTCCATCCATTTTTTTCACCATCTAATCTCTTGTAAAAATCTAATCACGATTTTATCATCATC